GGAACTGAACTCACGACCTTGCGCTTGCCAGGCAGGCGCTTTTGCCGCTGAGCTAAACCCCCAGCCCCCGAACTATAATGGTTTATAAAATGGATTTTTACATGATTTCTTTTTTAGTCCACTATGGGTTTTTGTTTTGTTTTGTTTTAATTTTTAGTGCAGTTTCAGGTTCCCAACAAAATTGAGAAAGAGATAAGGAGATTTCCAAAATACCTTGTGGCTCCAAACATGCATATCCCTTCCCATATTGACTCTCCCACATCAGACTGGCACAGTTATTAAAATTGATGAACTTACACGGACACATCATAATTATTCCCAGTCCATAGTTTCAGTCTTGATGTTGGCACATTCTATGGCAGTGTGATTTTGTGGGGTTTTTTTGGTCTAAATTCCCTTTGTATTAAAAAGGGAATTAACACAATCTATTAAATAGTAGTCATTACTTCTTTCTGAATTGACAAATCCCTACAAATTAGAGAAGGGCAGTGTTTTTTGTACTGAGTACCATAATCCACTGAATGGGATGGAGGAGGGGTTGTGTGAAAAGCCACATATATACTTAATTTCCAAACTATCCTGGGGGTAGTTTATATAGCTTGTTTTAAGGAATTTCACATCAGAAGGAAATGTTCCCAAATCATTAAATGTTCTTCAGAAGTAGTTGTAAGAATGGGACAGGTATGAGTCAAACAGAAGGCAAAGAAAGAAAGACACAGATGTATAAAATTCTGGGGCCGGGGATATAGCTCAGCAGCGTAAGCGCCTGCCTGGCAAGCACAAGGTCCTGAGTTCGATTCCTCGTACCAAAAAAAAAAGGTACAAAATTCTGAGTAGAGTATTAAAAAACAACACTTATCACAGTACTATATACTTCGACTTTAGTTTTTGTGGTTTCTGGAATTTCTGACACTTTTAAGTCTCTTTTCACAGTTTCTGATCTGCTCTATATCTCTTTTTTTTTTTTTTTGTCTTTTTTGAGACACGATCTTGCTATGTTGCCCAGGCTGGTCTCAAACTCACAACGATCCTCCTGCCTCAGCCTCCTGAGTGCTGGGATTGCAGGTGTGTGCCACCACGCCCAGCTAATGCTGTATATCTCTTGAGAAAGTTTATGCATAAATTATGTTGACTAGACTAACTACAACAGCTACTGATCAATGGGAAATTTTTCTACATGCTCCATTAGCAGTAATCTGTAATATTTTTAATCTGCTAAGAATCATAGACTAAATTCAGCCTTGCTCATCATCTTAGCTATCCTTTCTGGATTCATTAATCATTGCCTGCTTTTTAAAGTATAAAGGATTTTTTTTAAGTGTGAAAGACTGTACTACCTTTACTCTAAAGGATTTAAATGGGTATATTACCTTATTATAAGTGTATTTTTTAACATGTTACTAGATTTACCTGATTTTTTTAAAGTGATGATGTGATGCATGTCACAAAGCACTGTCAAAATAAGTACCCACTGTCTAGAACCTTGAGGCTTGGACTACATAAAGAATACCTGTGGAGTTTCTCAGGTACCTCTGAATATGGTTTTTCTTAATTGCCATTGTCATATACGTATTTTGATGAGCTAACCCTTTTGTTTTGGTTAGATCTAATTCTCATTCTGACAGCATCATGTGCACCTGGTTTATGAAAGCACAAGGCAGTATAGACTAGAGAAAACTGGCAATATAGATTTATCAGTCAAGCATACTTAGGTGAGGGAACTGCTAATCTAGAAATGGTCTAAAAACACTACTGAGTTATTATTGCTTCTGCCAACACTGATTTGAGGCTGGAACCACTAAGATTTTGATGCTGGTGAGGATATCTAAAGTGGAGATGCTAAGTATTAATAGGGGCTCTGCTGCTGCTTCTTAGCTTTGTCACTTTAGTGAGTTACTGATCACTTTGTACTTTAATTCTTCCATTGTAAAACTGATATAATAATAGTAACCATTTGATGCCTGAATTACTATATTAAGTAATGTAAGTGCTTTCGCATAGCACCTGGCACATAGTAAGTCATCAGTAAAGTCTAGTTTCTGTTGTTCCACTTAAATGTTTATTCATTTACCATCATTATTTTTCAGTCTAGGATTACTTAACCCAAGATAGTTTTTTAACTTGAATTTTTGTTTAAGAATAATTTGTGAATGCCTATCTTGAAATATGTCTATTTGTAGTAGAGAACTTTATACAAAGTTGCTAAAACAACTATCTGGAAGGTGGTGAGGGATAACCAGTCTCTCTGGTAAATATACTTATTGTTTGGAGAGTAGTTAAAGGAAAATAGTTGTATAGACTTATGACCAAATATTGAATCAATCTTTCCCACATGTCCAAAACCTTTTTGTTGGTGATTTTGTTATAATAACTCTTAAAAATGGACAAGTAACACTAATGCACCCAAGGTTGATTACATAGAGTCCTGAAAGAAATTAAAGACAAACGTTTTAACGTTTATAAAATGTTATAGATACTGTGTGATTATTATGATAAAGCTCTTCTTTATTTTCAGATTTCAACTATTGCAGAAAGTGAAGATTCACAGGAATCAGTGGATAGTGTAACTGACTCTCAGAAGCGAAGGGAAATTCTTTCAAGGAGGCCTTCCTACAGGTATCAGACTTAATAGAGATTAGAATCAAAGATATGTAAGAAATCTTAGCTGCAGATAAAGGGATGTCAAAAGCTGAGTTAGCTGCTCAAGCCAGTACACATAGATTATTTCTTTCAAATACAGTGAAGCTTATTGCACAGAGAGATCAGTGCTTACTTTGAACAGTCCTGAATAAACTGATTCTTTTGTACACTGTGGTAGCTGCTGCTTTTCTGTTTTTAAAGTTTGGAATACATTTGATAAAGTTACCACATTCTGTAGTTTTGTGTCACTTCTGAGGCTATGCTAGTTATCTCCTTAGCTATACCTTTGCAAACCATTTGTTATGCTGTGATACTTAACAGGTTACTATTTATTAATTTAGTAGTTATTTCCATGTGGTACTTTGCTACCATCCTCTTAAGTTAAGAGGCACCTTACTATAGTTTCTGTGTTCAGCTGTGGATGTTGCCTGGCCTATTGCTTGCCTCCAAAGTAGACCAAACCATTTATTGTATGTAGAAATCGGCTCCATATTAAAATTCTCCAGTAAGTGCATAGCCACAGATCTTATTAAGCTTACTTTAAAGTTTAATAAATTTTAGATTTACAATTCGCTTCCTTGTTTTAAGTCTGAATTTCTTCTATTCAGGTATATTTCTTCCCCTTCTCCCACTTACTCAGTTAAGCTAGCCATTTTATCTGTCTTCATAATCAAATTAAGAATCCTAAGTTAAAATTGATAAATTTATTTTTTGTTTTTGTCTTGTTTTTTAAAATTTTTTATTTTAAAGAAAATAGTACAAAAAAAAACAGTAGCAAAATACAAACAAAACAAAACAAGGACGTTAAAACCAAATGATAGGGATTAACAGTGGTTGTTACATTACATATTGTTATCTTCAACAAAGTTGCTCAGATTAACAGATGTAAGAAGATTGATCAAATCATTAAAGGGGCTAAGAATAATAATAATTTATTATTTTCTTATTAAAGGAAATAATTTATTATTTTCTTATTCCCTTTAATGATTTCTTTTTGTTTTTTGAGACAGGGTCTCACTATAGTTCAGGCTGGCATTGAATTCACTACATAGCAAAGGCTAGTCTTGAGCTTGCTGTGATCCTCTTGCCTCAGCTCCTGAGTTGCTGGGATTACGGGCATGCACTACCATGCCTGATAAATTTTTGAGGTCTTAAGAAATTTTGTTTCTAGTTGTATGTTGTATGAACATATACTCGAAACATATCTTAGCTGCACACCTTCAAAGACACAGCCTTTATATTGGAAAAAACTCTCATTTGACTTGTCTCATGGCCTAAACCCTAACAATGATCATTTAAATAATTACACCTTAATAATCAAAAAAAGATGCCATGAGACCAGACACATCTAGTAAAAGGTTTGTGAAAGGGAATGGTATCATCCCTTATAATCAGACTTTCACACATGGGTACCATTAAGTTTATGAATTCCTGAAACATAACCCCTGTGTCTTAAGTATAGCAAAGTAACAAAGTTTCTTGTGACACTCTTGAAAGGTTGGGGAAATAGAGGTTAATTGATAGTACTGGAACAACCCATCTTTATAGTGATTAATTTATATCTAGAGAAAGTCCTTGAAAGACCCTGTACTTGATCTCATTTGACTTGGTATTTTAAATAGCAATGTGGCTGAAAAATACAAAAGTCCGGTTCATCAGATTTGCAAATGACAGCATCTTAAGTGATAAGTACCCCATGGATGGGAAAGTAAGTACTTTGAAAGCATAGCAGCTAAGGGAAGTAGACTGAAATAAAGATAGTAGTGCCGGGTGTGGTGGGGTCATGCCTGTAATCCCAGCACTTGGGAGGCTGAGGCAGGATTGTTGTGAGTTCGAGACCAGCTTGGGCTACAGTGTAAGCTCAAAGCAAGCCTGAACTGCATAGCGAGACCCTTCTCAAAAAAGATGGAAAAAAAAAAAAAAGTGATAGTAGTAACTATAACATTTCTGAACTTGGGTATAAAATAAAACCAGATGTTCAAGTATCAAATTCTGGGTTGAAAAAATATATTTGAAAAACCTACTTAGTTCTTTGATTATTGTTCACATAATAGGATCCAGTCCCCCTCTTCCACCACCACCAAGCCAAAATACTATAAGGCCACATTAGTAGTATCTAGACTACGGAAGAGAATTAACCCCACTGTTCATACCACATCAGGAATACTTCAAAACAAAGTGAAATATATCCAGAGAAGATGACTGGTTAGAACGAACCTTTTAGAGCTTTCAGTGATAACAGACAGCCCACTGCAGCATGTGGAGCCATAGGTTTGCCACTGCCAGATTAGAAGATGAATAATTTGTAAAACTGGAAAGAAAAAAAGAATAGTTTTGCAAAAGAGATGAAGAAATACATTTTCATGATAGTTTCCTATATATACACATATAGATACACACATAAGTATATGTGTTTTTCTTTATTTTGTTCTTTCCAGTTCTTACACTTGGCATCACTGATTCCTTTGGAATTTGTTCTTAAAATTTATATATCTTTCACTTGTGGTCTAAGCACTAATAACAGCTTTCTGCCGTTTTCAAATCTTTATTATTTGTATTTAGCCAGTAAATTTTACTTTTAATTAATATAGCGCTCTGTCTTTCTAGGAAAATTTTGAATGACTTATCTTCTGATGCACCAGGAGTGCCAAGGATTGAAGAAGAGAAGTCTGAGGAGGAGACGTCAGCCCCTGCCATCACCACTGTAACGGTGCCAACTCCAATTTACCAAACTAGCAGTGGACAGTACAGTGAGTAATCAATATTTCTGTATTGAAAACAGAAGCTAATGAGTGTATGCTTAGTAATGGACTCAAGTGCCAACTTGTTTCTCAGTCTTGCTATCATCATTGTATTTCCTTTATTCTTCAGTGTGCAGAGGTCTGTATGGAAGGGTTTTCTTCAGAGTTTTAGTTAGGGTTATTCAAGTAAGCCTTTTACATGTTCCTTTGCAGAGTTTAAGGTTTTTTGGACAACTAAATGAAACTCAAGATTTTAGTCCTCATGCTGAGAGAACATGAGTCTTTTCAGATAAAGGAAAAAAATCATTCTTTATGCTTAAAGCCAAAAAAAAATCTCAGTATAATTTATCTTACTTCCTAAGAGTAGTAAAATCATATTTAATAATGCTTTTATTATAAAAAGATAACATAAGGACTGCTAAAATTAACAGGACTCTTTACCTTTTTCCTCATATAAAGCAGAGATTTCTCCACAGATTTATTAGTTTCCATTTGTGATTCTCCATTTGACTACCCAAGTCTCTTGCTTTTTCTTATCTTACACCTAAATTTATTGAAAACTGCTTTTGAATTCTACGTTTGTTTGATCAAAGACATTTGTATGAATCGCACTTTCCCTTTCCTCTACCTTTTCCTTTCAGTGTATCTTATACATGATACCCAGGTTCCTGATTTTTTCATCTCAGCCAAAAACACTGGTTTGCCAAAATGCAGTTTACATTCCACCTATATTAAAAACAGATTCTCAAGTTGCAAAATTTTTGGTTCTCACAAAGCTAAACTTAGACTAAGCTATCTGTTCACTAAGCTTAATGAGTTTAGTTATCTTCTGTTTTGTTGTCATTGGCAGAGTACATCTCTATGGCTGTGTGTGTGTATACATTTTCAGTTTACAATAGCTTCATATACAGATAACTTCAGTTATTTAAGGCATGTCTTTTATGATACTGACATATCACCTTTATTTTCCCCTTACTTCAGCATACCTAAGGTATATAAAATATTCCTGTCAGTAACAGAGATTCACTATTGCAGAATTTCCCACTTGAACTAGAAAGCGTGCTTTTTAGGAAAGAAACATACCTGAATCTGAAAGAGGGAAGTGAAGTTTAGAGAAGTACTATCATCCCTTTACATACTTGATTTTATATCTACTTCTCCAGTGGCTGAAAACTACTAGTTTTAAGAGATTAGTAATACTTTGAAGCCGGGCTTGGTGGTGCATGCCTGTAATCCCAGCACTCAGGAGGCTGAGGCAGGAGGATCATTGCAAGTTTGAGACTAGCCTGGGCTACAAAGTGAGCTCAAGGCCAGTCTGAACTCCATAGTGAGACCCTGTCTCAAAAAAGACCAAAAAAAAATAATAATACTTTGAGATTTTATAAGCTTTATTCATTATATTTATCTTTCTTCTCTCTTGCACATGTGGCTTTGTTGTATTAAGCAATATAATGATTACTCACGTGTACAGCAACATTTATATATTTCTTAACTTACAAAATGAAGGTTGTCAAATAACAAGTGTTAAGAGGGTTATAGTACTATTAAACATAAAGGTTCCTTTTTATCCCTCTCCAATAGTAAGAGTGATAGGTAGTCTTCATTATTTTTCATATACATGCTGTCCTGTTACATACACATTTGTGCAATCTCAGCTAAGTTTACACTTAATTGTATTTCTTTTGTCTAAATTTCTGGTAGAAACATGTAGCACTAGAGACATACCAGTTACTTGACATCTGTCTGTATTTTTTGTTTTATGGAAATTGGTTTTGTTGAAACTATCTCAATTCCTTTGGGGGTAATCAAAGGTATGAATAAGTATTATAGAGAAAAAACGTCAGTAGGATCATACTTCAGTTTTTAAAGTATTTTTGTATACACAACCTTATTTAATGTTTGCAACAGTTACACTAAGTAGCTATTTTTACAGAAGAGATAACAGAATCAAATAACAGTTCAGGGTAGAGCTTGAACTACAGCCCAAATTTTTTCGTACTAATTTTTTCTTCCTTCTACTCCTCTTGAGTTCATTGCTGTATAGCGCCCCCCCCCAAAAGTGCTAATTAAATATACAGTACTGGGTACAATGGCACACTCGTAATCCCAAGACAGAGGGAGTTGAGGCAGGAAGATCGCAAGTTTGAATTCTATCTGGGCAAGTAAGCAAGGGCCTGTCTGAGAGGATGGATGGATGGATGGGTAGATAGGTGGATGGGGGGCTGGGGCTGGGGATGTAGCTCAGTGGCAGAGTACCCCTGAGTTTGATTCTCAGTACACATAACCATTTATCGGGTGCCTGTTACATGTTTACCCCCTGTGCATGAAAGTAGAGAACAGTCACATTTCCTTCCTTCAAAATATATATTTACTGTCCTGGCAGCAAATTTTAATACATTGTATAGTTCATGTTAGAGTAAAGTATGTGTCACAAAGGTAAGGACTTCCTATGAGCCAAATAAGTTCAAAAGCAATTTGATATTTCTCTATTTGCCTTCGTTTTAAAAATTATTAACAGGCATTATTATCAATTATAATGAAGTTCATAGGGTACATTTCTGTTACAGAAACTGAAAGTGGTTTTCCTAGGTAGAAAGTTGATGGTTCTTGGTGCTGGTATTTATAATTTCACCTAGGATTGTCTCTGCAAATTTTCTACATTGAATTTAATGTGTTTTAAAGATCTCTATATAGTATTAATTAAACTTGTAACAATTAACTTCGTTGGGTTGTAGTTGCCATTACCCAGGGAGGAGCAATACAGCTGGCTAACAATGGTACCGATGGGGTACAGGGCCTTCAGACATTAACCATGACCAATGCAGCTGCCACCCAGCCGGGTACTACCATCCTACAGTATGCACAGACCACTGATGGACAGCAGATCTTAGTGCCCAGCAACCAAGTTGTTGTTCAAGGTAAGGGAGTTCAGAGCTCACAGGTGTGGTTCTCTGAAAGATTAAAATTTAATCTTGACTTTCAAAAAAAGTAAGTATCATGTTCCAAAGCACTATTAAATGTAGTTATCTTTTCTTTAATAAAATTTTCCATGAACTCTTCCATTATTCCACTTGGACCAAAATGTCATGGCATAAAAACAACTATTTTCAGTTTTTAAATATAACATGCATCTTTAACACTTTTAGGATTTGGGGATAGGAGAAACAGGGTTAGTTAGAAAGAAATCATAAGGTAGGAAAAATTTATCCTAGATCTGATTCTATGTGGAACTTCTGACTTTGAGCAGGACCCTGCCTCTCTCCTTCTGTTTTGCCCTGTTTTTTAAAATCATGTGTCAAATGAAAATTGTGCTAGTGACTGGTAAGAATTTTGGAGGTTCAGAATTCTGTGTCTTACTTTTTATTCAAGGGAAAATTAGATCCTCTTTTCTAAATTCATCAGTTTTTCTTTCAAATGAAAACACTGTACTCCAAAAGATAACATGATAGTATACAAGTCTTCTGGTCTTTCGAGAAAAAGTAGTTGTTAAATCTTGATTAATTATAGAAATGGCTTTTTTCTTATTAAACTTAATGTTTTATTTATTTCAGGAATCTGTGAATAGAAGTTGACCATTTTTTGTTGAATTCATTTGAATACTACAAGAATATGATTTATGTCAGATCTGAAATTTGTAGATTGAGGAATTAATAAGTTTTTGAAAAATATTTTCATTGATAATTTGCCTGTTAGGTAAAGACATTTATATCCCTTCACGGATAATTACTTTCGCATAATTCTGAAACACCAACTAGAAAGTCATAGTTTAAAGGGCCCTAATGTATTTACAGAACATGTTCTGCTTTAAACAGATAATATTTGAATATTTTGCTTATTAGTGGGAGTAAAACACCTTTTCACTTTACATGCAGGTACTCAAAAATTGTAAAGCAGGATGTCAGTGAATTTGAATTCTGAACGTCAGTTTGAAGATGGTAACATGTTTAGTATATAAATCTTTTCCACTCAAACTACACATTTCAAGTAATAGATATCTAAATATGGCTAATTTTATAAAGACCTTCACATTCTCTCATAGCGTTAGGTTTCTCATTTTAGAACAGCATATTCCTTAACACAGTTTTTTGGAGCAGTTTGACAAATAGGGATTGTTACTTTTCACAAATGGTGAATTGTTTAGTTAGAAAAATAAAATTTGAGTTTACTTAGCCATTAGTTACACTAAAACCATGTTTACAGATAATATAATTGGCATCAAACTATACACTTTTTCATACTTGCCATTTTGTTTACATTAGAAATTTACAATAGTTGACCATTATGCTTTATTTTCTCTTCCATTTTGCTATTTTATGAAAAATCATGGTCGTTTTTATGTCGTGGCAAGAGTCTACTTGAAATTTTTTAATATGAATTTACCAATATCAAAGGAAGACACTGAGGACTATACTCTATCTAGGAAGATCAAGCCAGCTGTGCCCTACTTCCCTTTTAGACTTAAGGTTGGTAAGCATGTTAACAACAGAACAGAACTGCATTGCAATGAAAGATGAATATAAGATCAAATAGACACAGGTTACAACCTCTTTTACCCAAGTGTCTATACTGCTAAATACATTAAATTTGGATTTATTTCTAAGTAATGAAGAAAAAAACTGATTTTTTTTTTGATTTTTTTTGATTTTTTTTTTTTTTTTTTACATTTTAGCTAGAATCATCTGTTCCTTACTGTTTCTCTTCTAATATGTTCAGATTGATGATTGGCAGACAAAATTGAGTCAAGTCAGTGTTTGTGTCTTAAACCTTGCTCACTGTTTTTCTTCTCAGCTGCCTCTGGAGATGTACAGACATACCAGATCCGCACAGCACCTACCAGCACCATCGCCCCTGGAGTTGTCATGGCGTCCTCCCCCGCACTTCCCGCACAACCTGCTGAAGAAGCAGCTCGAAAGAGAGAAGTCCGTCTAATGAAGAACAGGTACACACATCCCACTTACTTAGATGTCGTGGGTTGAGTACATCCACAAACTATGACATACGTCTTTATAGGTACTGATAATGGGATTTTTTTTTTTTTTTTACTGGAGATTTTTTTCTTGCAAAATTGATGGATCTTGCTGAAATAGCTTTTGTTTAGTAAACTTCATTTTAAAAATGGCCAGTAAGATTTTATCTGTCTTTAATCAGAAACATTTTCTAGTTACCCCATAGGAAATGTGAGATGGAGCTTTGCTATGTTTGTAATTTGCTCCATCCAACTGGCTGGGTTATTTAAAAATTATTTTTCATGAGTAGTATTGTTCAGTAAGGAGTATCATGTGTATTCACATTAACTGTTAAACTTTTATATTCAGCTTATTTTTAATAAAGTAAATATATGGTGGCCATTCCATTTTTAATGAATATTTTTTCTTTTCTCAAAATAACATATAAAGAGTCCTTGAAAACAGATTAATGCTAAGAATACCATGTTACTGACAAAATCTTAAAATAGACAGGCATCAACAGTAAAAGTACTACATAGAATGGCTGGGAGTGTATGCAGCTTAATGGTAGCAGACTGGCCTAGTATGAGCAAGGAGGTCTGGGGTTCAGTGCCCAACACCACACACAAAAAGGAAAACCTGTGAAATGTAGACAAAGTTATTCTCAAAAAGTAACTTCATTGCTATAAATGATTTTGCCGTTTATAACAATAAAAGTTACTAAATATTTAGCTGAAGATTTTAATATGGAAATGGCTAAGACAAACTGAAAATAAAAGTTGTAAAGATAAAAGGTTTGAAATTGATGAAAACATTGTACTTTTCACCCCAAGATTCTTCAAATACTATGGTAAAGTGGAAGAAACAAATTTAATTCGGAAGAGTCTAGCTTCAAGTGCTGGCTGTACCCCTTACCTGTGACTTGGAGAACCTGTTAATCTTCTGTACTTGCAAGTTTTCTCCTTTGTAAAACAGGGTACCCCACCCACCCAAAGTGGTATTCTAAAGGGCAAGTTAAATTACTCTTCTGAAAGCACTTCGTAACTAAAGTGCTCTGTTGAATTGTTTCTTTTTTTGAGTGATTTCATGTTTTGGCAGAAGTCTCTTTGTTCCTAAAACATTCTTAGCTGCCATAGTATTAATTACATCTAAGCTATGAGAAATGACAGAGCCATTCTAAGATATTAGGGGGGAAGTTGGGAAGATGAATGACTTTTATTTGTGCCCTGTCAGCCTGACTTTCTGTAAGTACTGAAGTTGTAATACTAAACAAAAACTGAATTCATATTTGAATGTATTTTAAAATATAAACTATGCATTTAAACCTTTAGTTTTAAAATATTTGTAAAGAAATACTTAAAACCCTTTTTTAAAATTAGAAATGTCTGTTAAAGAAGTCTCAGGTGGGCATGGTGGCACACACTTGTAAATCTTGCACTCTGGGAGGCTAAGGTTGGAGGATTACAAGTTAAAGCCCAGGCTGGGCAACTTACTGACTTCACAAGATTCTGTCTCAAAATGGCTAGGGATGCAGTTCAGTATGAAGGCCCTCTCCCTGCCATCCCCATAAAAGAAGTCTCAAGCAAATGCCTCCTTGTAAAATTTAAAGCAGCAGCATTTACTAAAGAAAACTGTACTAAGCAGAAAAATCAGAAGATAAATCTTTTTGATTATAAAATAAGAAAAAATACTTCAGGGCTCCTGTGATGGCACACACCCATTATCTTAGCACTTTTGGAAGCCGAGGAAGGAGGATCGCTTAGTGGGAGCAGTTTAGTAATTCAGCAAGACGCTGTATCAAAATAAAAAGTTAAAGAAAGAGCTGAGGATATAGCTTACCCTGAGTTCCCTGGATTCAATTTTCAGTAATGCCAAAAAAAAAAAAAAAAAAAAAGAGGAAGAAGACTTTACATTGTGTCTATGTAGTTTGGCTGTGTTTACAAAAAACATTTCCCTCTCATTCAGAAAAGCAGTGTGATGTAGTGTATGAGGAGCCAGCACTGTAGCTTCCCACCTGCTCCATCACAGAGAAACCAGCCCAGACCACTGCCCATGGTGGAAACTCACTGACAGACTAAATTTGTTTTTCTCTGTTCATTTTTCCTTCCTATTTGTAATCCGCTCTGTTCCCCATCTCACCTACCACGTTAGGAACAGGTATACAGCTTCCTAAGAATCTTCTTCACATGAGATAGAGAAGATACCTGACTTAATTATGGAGTCCAATAAAATACTTTTGCTTGGATTTAGTTACAGTGGTCTTAAAAGGGAGACTTCCCACAGATTACTTCTCCCCTTCATTACCATATTATTGCTGCTTCTGCTTTTTCAGCTTTTATTCAGTGGTACCTGGCTTCTCTGACCACCCCCCATAGTCCTATGTCTGTAAAAGGTAAAGATTTCCCCCTACAAATACATTTAGCAAATCTACTATTCTCTCTTCATTAAATTTTACCTCTGTGGAGTATTTAACACTTTTGAATGCTTATTCTTCTAAACTGTTTTTTTGGCTCATTCACCTGGTTTTCTATCTAGTTTATAAATTTTCTCTTGGAACTTTCATGTATTTCAGGTATCACCCATGTGCTGATACCTGATAATTTTATATATTCTGATTTTGATATTTCCTCTGACTTAAGTTCTTTATATTATTCATTCTATTATTCACTTTATAAAGGAGGAGAAGGTGAATATCAGAGAAAAGAAGGACACATCTTTTAATAGATTGGTAGAACTGAGATTTGAACCTGTGCCTGGGGCTGAAACCTGTGAACATGCTACTTCACTGCTATGCTTCTACCCAGAGCACATGGCAGTGTGCTGAGGTATGCAGCACCAGGAAGTAAACATTGAATGCTTTCCTTAGGTGTTCGTTTTGTTCAAATACTTGAGAAAAATAGACATTATTTTAAAAGCTTAAAATTTTTAAGTAAGTTCACATTACAGTGGTTACTTTGTGCTTTTTTCCAAAATCCCCTTACTTACTTTCCAGGTGTTGTGAGTACTTGTGAAAAAGTTAGAGAAATATTCTCCTCCTAAACATTCTAGGATGACTGTCTCTTACGTACATCAGATAAAGCCTATCTTAAAATAGCCTTGAATGGAAAAAGGTTGGCAGCCCCAAAAGTACACTATCCAAATTGCTGTTTACTCCAAAATGAAACTAGCATCCTCAAAAGAAAATAGAGATGGTTGTATTAATTTGTGTTACTACACTACAGTCACAAAAGCTCGTTGCCTTAACAACAACAAAATTTCTTCCTTACTTACAAGTTATGTTTTGACACCTGCAAGTCAGTGGCCTGGGGCTCTCCTTCACATGCTGTCTGGTTCATGGATCTCAGCTGAAGCAGCAGCACTTGTGAGACATGGCATTCTTGCACTAACAGGAAAAGGGCAATGTTTTTGAAAGCATATGCTGGACTGTGGTGAACATCATGTAAACTTGTATTGATTGGCCGCAACATAGCAAAGACAAGTGCAAAGTTAGTAGAGTGTGGACACAGCTCTTCCAGTGGAGAGAAGGAGGAAAAAATTGTGAAAAGTATTACAGTTTGCCCTCTAAAGTTCTCTAATGACCAGAATGGTAAAGAGGGGTTTACTAGCAGATATTTTAAAATTAGTACATGTTTGCAGTACATGTTCACATGTGCAGAATTGGTACATGTACATAACACATCTTAATTTCTTTTTGATACCTTTACCCTCCCTTCCCTCAATTTCTTGCAGATTTTTTAAAGATAAAAGTAATAAAGGATAATGTTAAATAGACTTGACCATATAAAAATGTTAAACTTATGTTCAAGGAAGAAAAAGATAATGTAGAAAAGCAAACAGTAAACTGGAAACATTTTAACAATGTCAGACTAATGAATTGAGGATATAAACAGGCAGAATCACAAAAAATAAATGGGCTAAATATTAAAAATTCCAAAGTGTATTTAATGTAAATTAAGGTGCCTCCATTAAGCTGTATGTACAGCTCTCTAATAAGAATGAAAATATATTTTTATTGAAATGAGACAATTTTACTGACATGGGACAGTGTTCTTAATGGACAAAAGTGGATTACCAAAGAATACGTACGTTACAGTCATATTTAGAAATTTACTATTAAAAATAAAATATGCTCATGTATAAGCATATGCAGTGCTCTTTAATTGCACCATCCAAAAATGTTAAGTATTCTAGAGTATATTTTCTTCTAGTACAAAGATACATACACATTTTAATATATAATTTTAACCTTTAATTTTAGGTTTACAAAAGATTGGTAAATACAGTAGTACCCAGGTGCCTACCCTTCATTCATCATCTTCTAATTTTAGCATAATACATACATAATCAGAATGTTTATCAAAACTAAGAAGTACATTGCTTTAATACTACTAGCTGAATTACACATTTTACTCAGATTTCTCCCATTTTTTGTATTTCTTTTACAAAATCCAGTCTAGGTACCACATTGAATTTGTCTTGTCTCCTTCATCTCCTCCAATCTTTGAAAGTTTGTTTTCTTGTCTTTCATAGCCTTCATTATCTAATACTTTAGAAAAGTAGCAACCTGACTTCTTCTAGACTATCTCTCAGTTTGGGTTTGTTAGATGTTTTATTATGATTAGACTGAGGTATTAGATTTTGAGGAAAATCCTACAGTGGTATGCCAAGGTTTTATCATATCAGAGAACACATACCAGCATGACTTACTACCTACTGATGAATTTAACTTTGGTTAAAGTGCTGGCCACATTTCTCCACTGTAGGGTTAACCAGAGTTAACCATATTTTTCTTTTTCTACTGCATTCCTTAGAAGCTGTTTTCACTAAGTTTAGCCCACAGTGAAGGGGAGCAAAATTAAACCTTAACTCTTAGAAGAGATACTATTAAAGAATTTCTGGTCACTTGTTACAACCACTGCAGTAGTTGGTATATTTTATGGAGGTTACCTAGAGCCTGTGCAAACACCTCCTTTCTCTTGTAAGGATTGCCCAC